AGTGGAACTTATACCGAAGTTCAAACAGGCGCGATATATCAAGTAGAACTCATACCGCAGCATTTTTTTCGGTTGACATAACAAATGAGAATGGCCAGATCCAAGATTTACCGTTGGTGCGTGCATTACCGAACTAATTTCAGGGTTTGGACTGCACATGCTTTGCGTTATGTTCATGCGTCATAATACGAAAAAAAGGTATAAAAAATGTAAAGCAGTTAAAGGCATAAATTATGAGAATATGAGGAACAGCAAGTTTGAATAGTTTCTTACCTTTTCATCTGTGCTTCCTTGAAGTTCACTGAAGAGATCATTTGAGGGCTGAGCAGGTACCGGCTCCTTGAACAGACACCGTAAGATTGAAAGCTCAGTCTCTCAAATATTAGAGCTTCCAAAAAATCAAGCTCACCTCTCCGAGCCTTTCCAACCCCATGAGCATATCGGTTAAGCTACTCAAATGTTCGGCATTCTTTACAGCATCCAACTCTTTCTTCATAGCCAATCGCTGCTCCCGTTCTTGTTGAGCAGCCAAAAGCGCTTCCTCCACCTAAACGGCAGACAGATAATGAATGATGGCCAATTGATAATTATCAATGTGATCCGCACCTGTTTCTCGGCAATATTCTTTAACAATTGACTTTCTTCTATTGCAGCATTCAACATGTAAATTTCATCAGCATATTTGGTACAATCAATTTTCAATGATTCAAATTCCACTTGCGCACCACGAAGGTTAGCAACCTAGAATCGATAAGTCAGAGTCGAAATAAGAGAGGAAATCTAAGAAAAGAAGGAAACGAAAAAGAACTACTCACAGTTTTCTGTAGGGCGATGTTCTCTTCTTCGAGTTCTGTATACTCACCCATAAGTCTTTGCTCTCGTTCCTTGGTTTCTTTAAGTTCGGCCTGAAGAGAAAAAAATTTTGATTGAGATTTTGACAATGTCCTTCTCAACATAAAAACATTGGAACTGCAAATCTACTACAGTCGAGTCAAGGTTCACGCAAAAAAAAA